AGATTTTTTTTTTTCTTTTTTTTTCTTCTCCTTTTTCAGACTTTTTCTCCATAGGTTTAACACACGTTTCTTCTACCAGTCCACTTTGCCACTTTTTTACATCCGATCGATTTCAGACTTGGTACATACTTAGACCACCACCCACAGATGGTCCTAGAAGAAATTCGTGACCGTGACGTCATCAGGTGTTTGGTTACGTGACATTAAAGATGCATTTTTCCCCATATGTTTTGTACACGTTTTAAAACACTCCACTTTGGCACTTATGTAAATCCGATCGACCTCAGACTTGATACATAATTAGACCACCACCCACAGATGGTCCTAGAAGAAATTCGTGACCGTGACGTCATCAGGTGTCGGGTTACGTCACATTAAAGATGCATTTTTCCCCATATGTTTTGTACACGTTTTAAAACACTCCACTTTGGCCTCTTCGTAAATCCGATCGACCTCCGACTTGATACATACTTAAACCATCACCCACAGATGGTCCTAGAAGAAATTCGTGATCCTGACGTCATCAGGTGTTTGGTTACGTGACATTAAAGATGCATTTTTCCCCATAGGGTTTGTACACATTTTAAAACACTCCACTTTGGCACTTTCGTAAATTCGATGTACTTTAGACTTGGCATACACTTAGACCATCAACCACAGATGGTCCTAGAATAAATTTGTGATCAAGACGTCATCAGGTGTTGGGTTACGTCACATTAAAGATGCATTTTTCCCCATAGGTTTGTACACGTTTTAAAACATTCTACTTTGGCACTTTCGTAAATCCGATCAAAGTTAGATTTCGTACACACTTAGACTACCACCCACAGATGGTCCTAGAAAAAATTCGTGATCGTGACATCATCAGGTGTAAGGTTACTTCACATTAAAGATGCATTTTTCCCCATAGGTTTTGTACACGTTTTTCATCAATTCATACTTTGGTACTATATGTCTGATTGACTTTTCTCTTGGCAGATGACATTCGAAGTGACTTCATCAAGTATTCATCACGTGCACAGAGTATTTCAAATATCCGAAACAGCTTGTGTTTGTCCACAAACACATTTCTAGTTTTTTTTTTTTTTTCTCCTTTTTCAGACTTTTTCCCCATAGGTTTAACACACGTTTCTTCTACCAGTCCACTTTGCCACTTTTTTAAATCCGATTGATTTCAGACTTGGTACCTACTTAGACCACCACCCAGAGATGGTCCTAGAAGAAATTTGTGATCATGACGTCATCAGGTGTCAGGTTACATCAAATTAAAGATTCATTTTTCCCCATATGTTTTGTACACGTTTTAAAACACTCAGGTTTGGCATCTTCGTAAATCCGATCGACTTTAAACTTAATTCATACTTAGACCACCACCCACAGATGGTTCTAGACGAAATTCGTGATCGTGACGTCATCAAGTGTCTGGTTACGTCACATTAAAGATGCATTTTCCTCCATATGTTTTGTACACGTTTTAAAACACTCCAGTTTGGCATCTTCGTAAATCCGATCGACTTTAAACTTAATTCATACTTAGACCACCACCCACAGATGGTTCTAGACGAAATTCGTGATTGTGACGTCATCAAGTGTCAGGTTACGTCACATTAAAGATGCATTTTTCCCCAAAGGGTTTGTACATGTATTAAAACGCTCCATTTCGGCACTTTCGTAAATACGATCGACGTTACACTTGGTACACACTGAGACCATCACCCACAGATGGTCCTTAAAGAAATTCGTGATCGTGACGTCATCAGTTGTCACGCTACTTCACATTAAAGATGCACATTTTCCCTATATGCTTTGTACACGTTTTAAAACACTCCACCTTGGCACCTTCATAAATGCGATCGACCTCAGACTTAATACATACTTAGACCACCATCCACAGATGGTCCAAGAAGAAATTTGTGATCGTGACGTCATCGGTTGTTACGCTATCTCACATTAAAGATGCACATTTTCCGTATATGCTTTGTACACGTTTTAAAACACTCCACCTTGGCACCTTCATAAATGCGATCGACCTCAGACTTAATACATACTTAGACCACCACCCACAGATGGTCCTAGAAGAAATTCGTGATCGTGACGTCATCATGTGTTGGGTTACATCACATTAAAGATGCATTTTTCCCCATAGGGTTAGTACACGTTTTAAAACACTCTACTTTGGCACTTTTGTAAATTATGCGATCGACGTTATACCTGGTATACACTTAGACTACCACCCACAGATGGTCCTAGAAGAAATTCGTGATTGTACCAATGCCAAGATGGGTTATAGATGAACATTCATGTGATGTCATCATCAAATGTCATGTGACGTCCCTTAAAGGGGCATTTTGTTCTTCATTGGCCTATATTTACAGACCTTTATGTTCGATTTGGTTATAACTTGACATGTACGTATAATGTGCTGTTATAGATGACATTTTTAGTGACGTCACTGATTGTTCATCACATGCACAGAGTATTTCGAATATCCGAAACAGCTTGTGTTTGTCCACAAACACATCTCTAGTTCAATTTTGTTATTGTAAATTGTGTATATATAGAAGTCTTGTGTGAAGATGCTATGGTCATATTTTCATTGAAAACAAATTTTCCCTTCATTTGCAAGTATTTAATGAATTTTTCATTGTTAAAATGAAATACGGGGCGAGTAAAAAAAAAAGCGCAACCCAAATGTCGGGACTATTGTTTTAGTGAAGTTCTGCATGTAGCACTTTCAAAATCTAGGATACGAAAGCCGAATTCATAAGCTATCTTTGAGTAAAGGAATCATTCAAATCACTCATGTATTTTTCAAGTTACGTAATTTTAAAAACAACCACTGTTTTAAAGTTCTGTCCACGGATCACAACAAAAGTATGCTTTCTTTCAGTAAAACGAAAACAGTTCACACACATCCCTATGTGATTTGTTTGCATTTTGCTGAAAGAACACTAGTTGTCCCCCAGTAATCTCTTCCCTTTGCCACACCTTCAAAGTGTTTTGTTTGGTTTGTTTGTTGGGCTGTTATTTTTGTATTGTATTTAATGTTAGTTCTGATCATTTTTTAATGTTATATTTTGTTTGTTACAATCTTGTGACTACCATTTTTTTATTAAAAAAAATCACCAAGAATGAGGACAAATTTGTGACATGCCAAAAAAAGTTTACTTTGAAAAATACTTTGTAAATTGCTTATCAATGCACATAAATAAGTGGCTTGATGGCAGTATTTAAAGTTCCCAATGGCCACTCAACATTAATCGTGAATGCAATTTTGTGTGCACTTGTATTTATTCTGATTTAATGGGCGATTTCTTTTTTGGGATTTATCTTACAAGACACTTGTCATGGTAAAGCACAATTTTCATTTGTCCAAATGCCTGCGATAGGTGGATAGCGTAAACAGTTCAATAGATACATTTACATTGGCTCATATAATCACCTAAAGAGTGTAGTTCGGTTGTGGATTTGTAATAATATAACGTTACTCGTTGTTTGTATCTAGCCATCCTAATGCACAGATAAGCTGTGATTAACAATTTTAACTAAAGTAAAGTTCGACCTATGCCTCTGTCTGGTCATGAAGTGACTATTATTTGTAGCAATACGCATAAGTTATCCGATGACGAAAGCCCAGACATATGAAGTCAAGTCATGAAACCATAACGCTTGGTTTTGAGTGATTGGTTTCGTCCTGTAACACAACTAAAAATCAAAATCAAACAAATATTCTCAAATGAATCGAACATCAGAAGCAGGTGCCGTTTCAAGCGTAAGCCTCCCTAAAGAGCGCCACCAGAGCAAGGTCTGCGAATTCAGGTCAAGTTGTAGGGTTTCCATGAGGTTGCTATGAGATCACACCATCCCGTCCATGACATCCAGCACTGTACAATTATTGGATCCAACATTTGATAATTTGAGAAGTGCAAAATAGAATCAGTTACCTTATAATGACGTAGCTAACACTGTCAGAATCGCCCCACGACCCTTTATACATGCACACTAATTGAACTTCACCGATACAATTTCGTGGCGATTGCACAATACCTAATAATAACCTTTGGTGACCTCAGCTTTCGATACTCGTCAAGCCTTAGTTGAGCGTGTTTAGTGAACTGGGGGAGGGCGGTATTTAGCTTTTGTGGTAGCTTTTTTTGTTCAAGCTAAAGGGCGCTATTCATTTTTAACAAAGTTGTCTAAGTTTTGCAACGAGACCATTCTTGACACAAAACTCCATCAAATGTCTTGATTATTTTGCTTTGATACTATGATAGGTCAGCAAAGTGAATACAAAGTTTGTTTTAGTTTTTGTACAATAAATTTGAGATGATTTATCATGCATAACGTACATGAAAATTTGGATTTTTGTTATGAATATACACATAATCTGTATTTTTAGGTCATTCCTGTGGTGGTACTGTTCACAGAACGTATTTTAGATTTTCTTTGAAATCTTTGGTTAAATTATTGAATTATTTTGGCTAAAGCCATGTTCGTATTTTTTTGATGAAAATTATAAACAGGTTAGAACCAGTGTACATATGTCTCGGACACATTTTCGTGTACTTCTTTGTAAATGAATTGAGGGTTTTGCATTTTTTTTCTCTCCAACCATGCAAAAAACCTCGCAAAGACGTGTTATATATCAACCATCATCATCTGAGGTCAAATACCATGTACCGTCATGTATCGTCATTACAATACACGTTCACTAGTTTGCTTCAATATCCACTTCGTCTCAAATATTTATATAACTTTGACGGTCTGTAGGGTGAAGCCATGTGGTACTTGTTCCTCTGGAACAAAACGTTCTTTTAAGTGGAAGGGAATAAATACGACACTTTAGCGTATGAAGCTGAACACTGTGTATATATTTTGCCTATAAAACCCAGGTCAGGTATAAGTCCTAGTAGGGAAGGTTGGAGTTTTTGACTTGTGATATCGATCATCTTTAATTTTCGAATTCAATCATTATAAAAAAGAAGCTCTACACAAGTACGAAACTTCTCATCAGGTAATTTTATCCGATTCAAACAGGTTAGTCACAAGGTTGCAGTATTGATATGTAATATTAGCACTACTTTTCCCAAAATATTTCCCAAAATATTATTTTCACGTATGACACTCTGAATATCGAAAGTTCTTCTTATGTTTAACATGCATCAACTTTATTTTCTGCAATGGTGAACACAAACAGTGTCACATTGGTCTTTAGTAAAAATTACAAATGTCCAAATGTATTTAAAAAACGATGCAAATTAATAAAATCAAAGCAATTAAATCGATACATTTTCCCACGCAAAACCTTTGTTTGGTCGGCGATATTTGATTTTCAGTGTTCCATGAATAAAACCGAGTTAAAATCATTATAATATATAATAAACAATGATTCCATTTGATTTTAAATTGATGATTGATTGGATTCTACGCTTTCTTATGAATACTTAAGGAAACATAATATAAATAAATCAGATGTAAAGTATACAAATGAAATAAATAATTCAGAGGTAAATAAACTAGAATAATTCAAACTAAATTCCAGAAAAACTAAATGGAGATACATGTACATGTATCACGTGATATGCACTATAAAAGGTACGGTGGTATTTTCTGGAAGCCGATGCTCGTGTAGGAATGTCTTCTTGAGAACAGTTTATAAAACAAGAACGTACATGTGTGTACATAGTTACATGTTCGGAAGCAAACAGGCAGAAATAAACCAGTAAACAAAGAACGGACACACTATAACAATTATTGAAAAAAACATAAAAAAGGAAACAGAACTTGTGAAATTTAAATAATAATAACGCGATCAAAGCAGCTTTTTTTACATTATTGGAAATACAGTCATCTTATAATGTTGTTTAAATTGGCCATCGGATGACTGTGCGAGTGAACGGCAATATTGAATGTTGCCTGTTACGAGACATTAACTGTTAAAGACTAAACCCCTCCAAAAAGTTCCATTACAACAAATCCTTAAATCTAAAGTAGATGATGCCAGACATATTAAGCTAAAAATAAAACAATTAAAATATTTAAGACTGTAAAAAATAAACTGTAAGAAACAAAAAACAATTTGTGATATCAATTTTAAACGTCGATCAGTCAGTCAAGAAGGGATTTAAATTGATGCATTGACCTTGCCTGTTTCTGAGCCGCGGTAATTTTGTTCCATCCCAGGGTCCCATGCTACTGAAATGTGCGCCTGGCTGATTTGTCATTGGAAAAGAGGACAGATGTAAAGATCAGTTTGACCTGGCACGAGCATTGGCATAGTAGCATGGACATGGTTTATGAAAGCGTGATTTCAGATCTCCGGGACGCAGGGTATTCACACACTCAACGAGCTGGCAAAGGTGACCATGAAGTGCCCTTCGTAAATCAGTGACAGGTGTTGTTGGGTAAAGGGCTTTAATAATTAAACTGGCCAACGCTTGTGCAGTTTGCTTGTCAGAGTGGCAGAGTCCACAACTTGACCAGGTTACATCACACCAGTCAAGCAATGGCAAGATCATGGCACAGCGTAGCATTTTAAACGTTGAATTGGGAAGGCAGGGTTTAGCATATCGCTGAAGAAACCCCATTTTCATGGAGATTTTTTTGGCCACATAATCAGTGTGATCGGACCAAGCAATGTGTTTATCAAGAATAACCTCGAGATACTAATGAACTCTTTCGATCAATGTATCATTTAATGAGATGTCCCCGAGAGAAGGGGGTATCCTTGGACGAGAACCAAATATGAATTTAGTTTTACTCACATTCGGCGTAAGTTTATGGTTCATCAACCAATTAGGCACTTTGCTAAGATCATATCGGATTCAATACCGTCATGTCTTGTGCCTTCCGACATTAGTATGGTATCGTCAGCATTCATGCTCACTTTCGTTCCTGATATTGATGCTAAACATGAAGGTAGGCTGTATATAAAATGATTAAAAGTGGGTCAAGAATTGACCCTTGAGGAACCCCTGCACTCAGATGTCCAAAGCCAGAGGTTATACCTTCGGTCGAAGTGGTCTAATTCCTTCCTGGAAGGTAAGATTCAAACCATTTTATTTCCAGATATTTTGACTCCACTATCATCGAATTTGGACAATAGACTGTTTTTTATCAACATTATTGAACGCTTTCTTAAGATCTAAAAAACACACCTCAAACCAGACTGCACTGTAGAGAGAAAATCTTAAGAAAGGAAGTCAGTTCATTTTTGCCAAATCTTTCAAGAAGTTTTGAGAAAATGAGAGAACTGAGATAGGTCTAAAATTAGATGGTTCTTCTCAATTATCACCACCCTTAAATACTGGAGCCGTCTTGGTCATTTTCAAGCCCTCAGGCACAATACCTGTAAAGACAGATTTATGTTTGAGGTACGTCAAGGAGGTATATATATATCTGGACATGCTATTTTGAGAAGATTTCTGGAAATCAAGTCATCATCTGTTGCCACTGATCGATGAGAGATCCATTTGCTTAATTTTCTTTTCTACGAAACGAGCTGCAGCCGGAGAAAGCCTAAGGGATATTATGCATGTGTACAATCGATGTTGCAATAACTCAGGTGAGAGACAATATGAGAAGTGTAAAGAGGAGCAACGGACGCTTGAGCAAGGAAAGGACGGAGCACATAACACCTGCGTTTTGACTCTGACTTTGGCGGTAGCTAGTTATGCTCAATCCATGAGAGTTTCTCGTCAATGTTGACACCTCAAAAAGTGCTGGAACGTCAGCACAGCTTTTGCGAGGAATGTCTGGTGAAATGTCATGATGTCGGATACCTTGACGGAGCAAGGATTTCTTGTCCTCCGGACATGGTTCAAGAATCCGTCATATGGGGCCTCAAGGCCAACTTGAAGGGAACCATTTTGATTCGGAGCAAGAATAGAGCCTTGAAGGACACCGTATCAAAGGAAAACTGCTGTATGTTTGAGAGATAACTCAAAGATCACCGGAGTGCAACACCCCTTATCCAAGAAAACTCAAGTGCAGACCGAAGAATAGAATGATCACTGATACCAAATGCTTTGGAGAGATCGACAAGGACTCCAATGATATTCATATTGTCAGTGAAGGTGGAGGTGGGTTATTTTGACGACCTCTATCAGAGTCATATTTGGTAGAATGATTGCTTCGACAACCACACTAATGACCAGAAAGGAAATGGAAGCGAGAGCCGAAACTGGATAGGCAGTTATAGACAAGTCTCTCAAGGAGTTTGGAAAACAGGCAACAATATACATACGTCGCTAGTTACGAGCATGACGATCTCTAGACTTGAGATCGTTATAGGGATAACATTGGCAATCTTAAAATTAAATGGAAAGTGGCCAAAGGAAAACAAAATGAAAATATAAGCCAAAGGACGACAGATAAATGGAATAGCAGGTTTTATAATTGAGGGATTGGTGCCGTCGGAATACACAGCCAATGCTGTTGTTGAGCTGGCTGCAAATATCAGTAACTTCAAAGAAGCGTGTTGGAATCAAGAAAAAAAGAAGAGACAAAGGAGACAGGTAACGGAAGAAAGAAGAGTCAGAAGGTGGAATGGTACTCGCAAAGATGCGCAATACAAACGGACGCTTGAGGAAGAAAAAGGCCAGAGCACATTAAACCGGTGATCTTGGCAATGGCTGAGAGATGATCATTCCAGAAAAGTTTCTCGTCAAATATGACGCCTAAGGTACTGGAATGTCAGCACAGTTTCTGTGAAGAATGTCTGCTGAAATTCCGTCATGGCAGATACCGTGGCAAAAAGCAGGGATTCCTTGTCGTCCAAAGACGGAAGTTCAAGAGTTCGGTATAAAGGGCCTCAAGACCAATTTGAAGGTGACCAACTAGAAGGTGACCAAGACGAGAGCCCTGATTATTGCCGTAAGAATACACAGCTATTGCTGTTGTTGAGCTCACTGTCAATATCAGTAACTTCGAAGAAGTTTGTTGGCGTCAAATAAAAGGAAGAGACAGAAAAGGCAACTGTAAAAAAAAAAAGAGTCAGAAAGTTGAATTTTACTCGCAAAAGAGGGGTCAACGTTAGAGAAAGTATAACTTTACTCCGATATGTTAGATATTCTCGTTTCATCGCATCTCTGTAAGAATTAAGAATTAAGAATGAAAATAAATACAAGTAAGAATTGTCTGTAATACGGAAGCCAGAAATATTTAACAGTTTTAGAAATTTAAATCATACGTAAGTTGCTTTAAACCAAGCATAAATTATACACGCTCGGCAAGTGGTTTGCACGTGATTCAAAATCACCTGTCTGTTCTTTTTATTGACACAGCGATGGCTACAGAAACGTCTGTAACGAGCCGAGTTGGAGAAAGTCATCGCTAATCATATTGAGTGCACTACATGTATCTGCAAAAAATGATGCAAACGGCCAAGAGTACTGGACTGCCCGCACAGCTTCTGTAAGAAATGTTTGAAGAAATACCGTTTTCGGCAGATATCAAGGCCAACCAAAGATCTCTTGCCCTGTGTGTCGACAGGAGACAGTACTTCCAGTGTCTCACAGACAAGGTCTAAAAAGACCAATTTGTATTTGAATAGGGCGATGTCGCCCTTCGTGTTCATACAGTCTGAAGCTTGATATCGATGTGGACAGCAATGGAACAATTAAACTCACGTTAATTTCGCTCCACACCACAGTTAGGTACAGCAATGGACAGACAGCACAACACTGCAGAGCACGTCATGTAACAGCATGACAGAGCATAGTAAGATTGCTGCCAAACAAGCACAATGCATGTAATTTTCCGCCCTTTTCTAGATGACTTGGTAGATATGTCGGATCAAAACTCAAAGGAAGATAACATTTTCCAAGACATGACTATTGTCAACGAGGACAGCACATCACTAGAGAGCAAGACTGACAAGACACAAAGGCTCCTCGTGATCGTAGCAGTCATGATGAATGTTCATATCATTGTGGGTGACAAGAATAGGAAGGAGCCGTTGACTGAGCATATAGACACCGTGATGATAAACTCATAATGCACGAAGAATCTGAAGATATGTTTATCCTTCCTGACAAATGTTCTAAGTAGTGGCTAAATAAATAGTGGACAGTAACTAAGAAGAGGGATCAGCAGAGCGATTTTTATGATGGCAACGCTGATACCGTTCTAGCATCAAACCTATTATTGGTTGAACGCTGTTGAAACACTCGGCGGTTGTATGCAGCTGCAACAGCTTCGCTATCGACACTGAAGAAAATAAAGACTCTTCCAATACCAGTCATTTTCACCACTATGACTGTAAGGGTAAGATTCAACTGTGTTATAAGCAAGGTTTGTACGAACCCGCTGAAATCACATTCACAACAGAATGGCAACTGTTGTCAGTGGCTGACTTGTACTCAGTCAAGATGTATCACAAGGGATGATTTTCACAGGTGTATGTATGCTACAGTTTCGTTATCTGCATTGTATAACGTAGAAATGAAGACGACTGCACACAAGTGTCAACTGTGTAACCGAGGGTCCGTAGGAACCCACTGGAATCACATTCACATCAGATGGGAAGCTGTTGCAAGTGACTGACTTGTATTCGTCAAGAAGTGTCGCAAGGAATAATGTTCACGGTTGTACGCAGCTGCTACATGTATCTACATTGCAGGCCTACATTGTAGAAAATACAAACTGCAAAAAACCGTCGTATTCACCACTTCGACTGTACATAAGTGTGTCAAATGTGTAGCCCAGGGGCTGTAGGAACCCGCTGGAATCACATTCACATCAGATGGGAAACTGTTGCCAGTGGCTGACTTGCATTCGTCAAGAAGTGGCGCAAGGAATAATGTTCACGGTTGTACGCAGCTGCTATCTACATTGCAGGCCTACATTGTAGAAAATACAAACTGCAAAAAACCGTCATATTCACCTCTACGACTGTACATAAGTATGTCAAATGTGTAGCCGAGGGTCTGAAGGAACACGCTGGAATCACATTTACAGCAGACGGGAAGCTGTTGTCAGTGGCTGACTTGTATTCGTCAAGAAGAGTCGTAAGGAATGATTTTCACGATTGTATGCTGCTGCTATCTACATTGTACATTGCAGAAAATAAAAATTGCAAATAACCGTCATATTCACCACTACGACTGTACATAATATTTGTCAAATGTGTAACCGAGAGTCTATAACAACACCCTGGAATCACATTCACAACAGACGGATAGCTGTTGCCAGTGGCTGACTTGTATTAGTCAAGATGTGCCGTAAGTAATGATTTTCAGGGTTGTATGCAGATACTATCTTCATTGTACATTCCAGAAAAAAAAACACTGCAAACAACCGTCACATACACGACTACGACTGTACAGGTAAGTTTCAGCTGTATTACGCAATTTCACAATAGATGGGCAGCTTTTACACTCAGTCAAGATGTATCACAAGAAATGATATTCAATAAGTATGTCAAATGTGTAGCCGAGGGGCTGTACAAACACGCTGGAATCACATTTACAGCAGACGGGTAGCTGTTGCCAGTGGCTGACATGCATTCGTCAAGAAGTGTCGTAAGGAATATTTTCATGGTTGTATGCAGTTGGTATCTTCATTGTACCTTGCATAAAATAAAAACTGCCAACAACCGTCATATTCACCACTACACGACTGTTCATACGGTTGTCAACTGTGTAACCGAGGGTCTGTAGAAGCCCGCTGGAATCACATTCACATCAGATGGGAAGCTGTTGCCAGTGGCTGACTTGTATTCGTCAAGAAGTGTCGCAAGGAATGATTTTCACGGTTGTATGCTGCTGCTATCTACATTGTCCATTGCAGAAAATAAAAACTGCAAATAACCGTCAAATTCACCACTATGACTGTACATAAGTATGTCAAATGTGTCGCCCAGGGCCTGTACGAATACCCTGGAATCACATTCACAGCAGACGGACAGCTGTTGCCAGTGGCTGACTTGTATTAGTCAAGATGTGCCGTAAGTAATGATTTTCAGGGTTGTATGCAGATGCTATCTTCATTGCACATTCCAGAAAATAAACACTGCAAACAACCGTCACATACACCACTACGACTGTGCAGGTAAGTTTCAGCTGTATTACGCAATCTCATAATAGATGGGCAGGTTTTGCACTCAGTCAAGATGTATCACAAGAAATGATATTCAATAAGTATGTCAAATGTGTAGCCGAGGGTCTGTACGAATACCCTGGAATCAAATTCACAGCAGACGGATAGCTGTTGCCAGTGGCTGACATGTATTCGTCAAGAAGTGTCGCAAGGAATGATTTTCACGGTAGTATGCAGCTGCTATCTACATTGTACATTGCAAAAAATAAAAACTGCAAACAACAGTCACATTCACCACTACATGTATACAACTGTACATAAGATTGTCGACTGTGTAACCGAGGGTCTGAAGGAACCCGCAGGAATCACATTTACAGCGGACGGAAAGCTGTTGCCAATGGCTGACAAGCATTCGTCAAGAAGTGTCGTAAGGAATGATTTCCACGGTTGTATGCAGCTGCTACAGTTTCGCTATCTACACTGTACATTGCAGGAAACTTAGACTTCGAACACCCATCATGCACCACTACGATTGTACTTTTAAGTGTTTACTTTTAAGTGTTTTAACTGTTTTGCGAGGGGTCTACACAAACCCACTGACATCAAATTCTCATCACGGATGGGAAGCTGTTGCAAGTGGCTGACTTGTATTCGACAAGAAGTGTCGTAAGGAATGATTTTCCCGTTTGTATGCAGCTGCTATCTACTTTGTCCATTGCAGAAAATGAAGTGTTTTAACTGTTTTGCGAGGGGTCTACACAAACCCACTGACATCAAATTCTCATCACGGATGGGAAGCTGTTGCAAGTGGCTGACTTGTATTCGTCAAGAAGTGTCGTAAGGAATGATTTTCACGGTTGTATGCAGCTGCTATCTTGATTGTACATTGCAGAAAATGAAACTACAATTAACCGTCATATTCACAACTTCGACTGTACATAAGTATGTCAAATGTGTAACCGAGGGTCTGTAGGAACCCGTTGGAATCACATTCACATCAGAGGGGTAGCTGTTGTCAGTGGCTGACTTTCATTCGTCAAGAAGTGTCGCAAGGAATGATTTCCACGGTTGTATGCAGCTGCTATCTACTTTGTCCATTGCAGAAAATGAAGTGTTTTAACTGTTTTGCGCGGGGTCTACACAACCCAATGAAATCAAATTCATGACACGGATGGCAAGCTGTTGCAAGTGGCTGATTTGTATTCGTCAAGAAGTGTCGTAAGGAATGATTTTCACGGTTGTATGCAGCTACTATCTTCATTATACATTGAAGAAAATAAAAATTGCAAACAACCGTCATATTCACCACTACGACTGTACATAACTATGTCAAATGTGTAACCGAGGGTCTGTCGGAACCCGTTGGAATCACATTCACATCAGAGGGGTAGCTGTTGTCAGTGGCTGACTTGCATTCGTCAAGAAGTGTCGCAAGGAGTGATTTTCACAGTTGTATGCAGCTGCTATCTACATTGTACTTTGCAGAAAATAAAAACTGCAAACAACCGTCATATTCACCACTATAACTGTACAGGTAAGTTTGAGCTGTGTTACGCAATTTCACAACAAACGGGAAGCTAAGTATGTCAACTGTGTAGCCGAGGGTCTGTACAAACACGCTGGAATCACATTTACAGCAGACGGGAAGCTGTTGCCAGTGGCTGACTTGTATTCGTCAAAAAGTGTCGCAAGGAATGATTTCCACAGTTGTATGCAGCTGCTATCTACATGTACATTGCAGAAAATGAAAACTGCAAACAACCGTCGTATTCACCACTACGACTGTACATAAGTGTGTCAACTGTGTAACCGAGGGTCTGAAGGAACCCGCTGGAATCACATTCACATCAGATGGGAAGCTGTTGTCAGTGGCTGACTTGCATTCGTCAAGAAGTGTCGCAAGAAATGATTTTCATGGTTGTATGCAGCTGCTACAGTTTCGCTATCTACACTGTACATTGCAGACAACTTAGAACTCAAACACCCGTCATGCACCACTACGATTGTACTTTTAAGTGTTTACTTTTAAGTGTTTTAACTGTTTTGCGCGGGGTCTACACAAACCCACTGACATCAAATTCTCATCACGGATGGGAAGCTGTTGCAAGTGGCTGACTTGTATTCGACAAGAAGTGTCGCAAGGAATGATTTTCACGGTTGTATGCAGCTGCTATCTACATTGTACATTGAAGAAAATAAACACTGCAAACAACCGTCGTATTCACCACTATACGACTGTACATAAGGTTGTCAACTGTGTAACCGACGGTCTGTACGGACACGATGAAATCACATTTACAGCGGACGGATAGCTGTTGCCAGTGGCTGACTTGCATTTGTCAAGAAGTGTTGCAAGGAATGATTTCCACAGTTGTATGCAGCTGCTATCTACACTGTACATTGCAGAAAATGAACACTGCAAACAACCGTCGTATTCACCACTACGACTGTACATAAGTATGTCAACTGTGTAGCCGAGGGTCTGAAGGAACCCACTGGAATCACATTTACAGCGGACGGATTGCTGTCGCCAGTGGCTGACAAGCATTCGTCAAGAAGTGTCATAAGGAATGATTTTCACAGTTGTATGCAGCTGCTATCTACATTGTACATTGCAGAAAATAAAACTACAATTAACCGTCATATTCACCACTACGACTGTACATAAGTATGTTAACTGTGTAGCCGAGGGTCTGTACAAGCACACTGGAATCACATTTACAGCAGACGGATAGCTGTTGACAGTGGCTGATATGCATTCGTCAAGAAGTGTCGTAAGGAATGATTTTCACAGTTGTATGTAGATGCGAAAATTACATTGTATATAGCAGAAAATAAAGACTCTTCAAACAACCGTCACATACACCACTATGACTGTGCAGGTAAGTTTGAGCTGTGTTACGCAATTTCACAACAGACGGGAAGCTGTTGCCAGTGGCTGACTTGTATTCGTTAAGAAGTGTCGCAAGGAATGATTTTCACGGTTGTATGCAGCTGCTATCTATATTGTACATTGAAGAAAATAAACACTGCAAACAACCGTCGTATTCACCACTATACGACTGTACATAAGGTTGTCAACTGTGTAGCCGAGGGTCTGTACAAACACGCTGGAATCACATTTACAGCGGACGGGAAGCTGTTGCCAGTGGCTGACTTGTATTCGTCAAGAAGTGTCGCAAGAAATGATTTTCATGGTTGTATGCAGCTGCTACAGTTTCGCTATCTACACTGTACATTGCAGACAACTTAGAACTCAAACACCCGTCATGCACCACTACGATTGTACTTTTAAGTGTTTACTTTTAAGTGTTTTAACTGTTTTGCGCGGGGTCTACACAAACCCACTGACATCAAATTCTCATCACGGATGGGAAGCTGTTGCACGTGGCTGACTAGTATTCGTTAAGAAGTGTCGCAAGGAATGATTTTCTCGGTTGTATGCAGCTGCTATCTACATTGTACATTGAAGAAAATAAACACTGCAAACAACCGTCATATTCACCTCTATACGACTGTACATAAGGTTGTCAACTGTGTAACCAAGGGGCTGTACAAACACGCTGGAATCACATTTACAGCGGACGGATAGCTGTTGCCAGTGGCTGACTTGTATTTGTCAAGAAGTGTCGTAAGGAATAATTTTCCCGGTTGTATGCAGCTGCATTCTACACTCTACATTGCAGAAAATGAAAACTGCAAACAACCGTCATATTCACCACTATACGACTATAGATAAGGTTGTCAATTGTGTAGCCGAGGGGCTGTACAAACACGCTGGAATCACATTCACATCAGATGGGAAGCTATTGCCAGTGGCTGACATGCATTCGTCAAGAAGTGTCGTAAGGAACGATTTTCACAGTTGTATGTAGATGCGAAAATTAAGACCGAAAATTACATTGTATATAGCAGAAAATAAAGACTCTTCAAACAACCGTCACATACACCACTATGACTGTACAGGTAAGTTTGAGCTGTGTAAGCTTTTGTACTCAGTGAAGATGTATCACAGGGAGTGATATTCACACGTTCAGCAAGATACGGAATCCACAACGAAACATCCGTTCAACATGACCTAAAATGTTTTTTTGTCTAAGGGGCGTCGGTTGTTTACCAAAGTCTTCATGTGCATTAAGAGAATGCAAGTTAAGAGAATGCAACGAATATTGTAGATCTCCAATCATTTTAATACATTAAGGAGACAGGTGAATTAACCTGAAAAGAAATATTCGACAAGGATCCCATTGTCCTAATCAATCTCAGAATTACCGCCATGAAATACACTTAGAATCCTGAGGTGTGAAATCCCAAAGAATTAAAAAGTCTTCTGTTTTGAATTGTCTTGAGGATGCTAGACCGATATACTTAAGTGAAGTAGTCACTTGGAATCTTGATGGTAAACATCTTAGTCAGCTGATGACATGTTTTCCTATGGCACAATAATGGAACATACATGTATTAAATTCAGAGCTCAGTGGCGAAGGAAACAGGCAGGCCGGAACATTGGCAGACCTACCTAACTTAAGAAGCCTTTAGAAAGGATCGAGGCCAGAGGTCTCCTAGCAACTCGGATTACACTATGGCTCCGCAAGCCGGACACTCAAGAAGAAGAAAAACATCGTACTCATCATATTTCCGAAGCATCTGCCAAGCGGTAGAAGGGCAGAAACCAATAGAATAATGAAGAATATGCGAGTTACGGAGCAGAAGATAATATACAGAACAAATTGCTACACTATGACCAACCATTGGGCAAATTGAAGCAAACCGAGCAACTTCATAGATTTCAGCAAATCTTTTGACAGTGGCCATATGAAAAAGCCTGTGAAGAACATTTGAAATCTATGGCCTACCTTAGAGGTTTAACATCCTTACAGAGATTCCAAATGTGCATTCAAAACAACTTTAAGACAGAACACCAGCATGGTTTCAAATGGAAATAGGTGTAGACAAGTATGCATCCTGTTACCCTTCTATTTATATTTTAAGTTCGGCATATAATTTGTAATGAGACGTGTACAAGAAAGCATCGGAATACAATAAGATTCCAGAAATCTGTGCAACCAAGACCTGATCGCAGACGACGTTGCCTTGCTAGACACCTGTACCATATAGCTCCAGGAATAAACAAACAACATTTGCGTTATTTAAGAAAAAGTTGATCAACGAATCAACAGGAAACAAATTAGTTCATGAACATCAAAAGTTGACCAGAATGCATGAAAGTGCATGGTCAGAAGGTGGAACAAGGGCTTCACATGTCTGGGTAGTGATATCAGCGAAACTGGCTCAGTGGATAGAGTTCAAAGAGAATCGGGAAAAGTCATCTCCCTCGAGTGGAAAATGTATAGCAGTATAAGAGTTGTCAATAAAGATAGATTAAAATAGGGCCTACACCTGGCAGTTGAAACTGTGCTGAAACTTTGCCCCTAACAAGTTCAAAAACAAGGAAGCTTAATGTGTTTCACCGAAGATGTATAAAAGAATATTAAGAGTCTGACAGGCACAGAACACCTTTCAGATTTCTTTCTTTTTCGTTTGAATTTCATTGTTTGAACACAGGGGGCTGTCCAGGCACAAGCTTTGGCTTTTTTCCCCAACCTCCTCCGTTTATGACTTGGTTGTTATATATTGTTTCCATTTTAGTACTTCATTGGAAGAATGAAAGTATGGGGGGGGGGAATCTAATCAAATGGAATCAAATCAAAATTACTTGAATGGATCTGAAAATCGCAGGAGACTCCGCTCTTCTTCTGATGTCACCCGGCTGGTTGTTCCTTGTTCCAACAAGAAGGCGGGTGACAATTCATTCTCTGTTGTTGTCCCTAAATTGTGGAATCAACTACCGGTTGACATCAGGGAAGCTGCGTCTACAGTGATCTTCAAGCGCCTACTCAAAACACACTTATTACCCAATGCATAATAGTTGTGGTTTTTTGTGTGTGTGTATGTGATTTCTTTGTAATTTTTAGTAACTGTTTAAGCTGTTTGTTGTGAGGCGCTGTGATCGTTGTAGAGCGCCATATAAATGCTTGGTATTATTATTATTAGTATTATATAAACTGAGATGGTTGGGTGATGTGTGTTACATTCCAAATGAACGAAGATGGAGACAAACAATGGAATTGGAAGCTAGAACGGAAAACAAGGAGAGGCAGGCAAGGAGATTAAAGACCCAAATATTCCCTATAATAAACAGTGTTTAAATATACATTTTTGGCAATTCGGAACATATTTTTGATTCTAGCTGACCTGGTTGCAATGATTACTATAAACACGTAATTCTATTTTACCAGTGAAGCTGACGACATAATGTCAGGTGCATTTTGAATGTGAACTTCAATTTTCCCAGAATGTCAGGGGAATACGCCGCAGCGTTCGATTAGCCCCATGACAAATACCCTAAATGCAATTTTAATTGTTCTAGAAATTAATACATATTCCTGTAGTTATAGATAACTGTCGTCGGTTAAAGATGTAACGATACGTAATATGTTGGGTGCCGTGGCCTCGTGGTCCGGAGTAGTGACCTCGTGGTATCCGAGTTATTCTTCAGGTTGTGGGTTCGAGTCTAGACTGGAGTTACGTTGCATGTGCCCCTGGACAAGACAGTTTGTCACTCATTGCTTCTCCCAACTCATGAATATTGGGTACCTGCAAGGGCAGATATAATTACTGTCATTGAGCTTAGCCGTTTTGCCCCGAAATAGCATTGAGCTTTATACTAGGTGGGTCAAAATAAAGGAAACCCAAATGGCTGGACTAATTTTGGAATGAAATGTTGCCTGTAGCACTTTCAAAATCTAGAATATGAAAGCCCAGTCATTAATTTTTTTTTTTTTTAGCACAAGACTCATTCAAATCACTTATGTACTTTTCTACTTAAATTTTTAACACAAACTCTGTTTTAAAGTTCTGTCCACAGTTTAAAAAAAGGGTAAGTGTTCTTTCAGCAAAACGAAAACAATTACCATACCTAGGATGCGTGTGAATTGTTTTTGTTTTGCTGAAAGAACACTTAATACTGTTTTGTGATCTGTGGACAGAACTCAAAAACGGTTGAAATAGAATTTCAAACTATCTCCAAATCACGTGTACACTGTACAGTGTATGTGATTTCAGTGGAAAGGTAATTGTTTTAGCTCAGCACGTAGCTAGCTCAGGTTCGCCGCACTTGAATTTCTTTTCCGTAGGTGGGTTGCTCCAAAGTCATGAATAATTCAATAGCTTCGATCGGGCCAGTATGTTTATTCACGAAACACAACAATGATATCAAGAGCGTTGTTGTTATTTAGTCAACCAGTTACCTGTAATTGTAAAGCATATTAAAGTACAAACGTCGTCGAGCTACCACACAGTAGCCTAGTGGATAGCGAGATGAGCTATGGTAACAAAGATCCCTGGTTCGAATCCACGTCGTCGCTACTCATTTTTATTGACTATATTTCATCTCTGAATTTATTGTTGAGATAATTTTATTTGAAGGAGAAAAAGAGAACGAGCACCTAAGTGTCTTGCAACGATTCGAAGGAAAACTAAATTATGCATGACATTTGAGTACCCCACCTACGGAAAATAAATTCGCCGCCCACTGTGATTTTTTTCACTTCGCTAGGCAGAAAACGCAGCAAAAATTCACCGCACATTGTGCAATCTACGTGTTCGAACAAACGGCCTTGAATGACTGGATGCGCAGCACGTAGCTTTTGTGTGCGGTGGGCTTTTGAAACTCAGGCACATTTTGTGAAAACACAGTGTGAACAGTTACACAATTTTAAGGAATGTTATAAAACCATGTTGTGGTATACTTACAACGTGAGTACAAGTCAATGAACGCTGGACTTGGGATTATCTTGGTGACACGATGATAAGTTGAATCTGACAAGTACTTCTCCACGAAGAGCTAAAAATACCAATTACACAGTCACCGGGTATCTAACTGTTTTGTGTGCTTTCCAGGAAGGTTAAAGACTTGCAGGTAACCGTTCTTTTTACACAGCCTGCAAGTATAAATGAGAAAACAACACAATAGCAAAACGGTGAATATAATTATCACTTAAATAATTTATTGAAACAGAACGAACAACAAGGCTGTTAAGTTGGTCCTTTCACTCCCTGCTCCGAGTCAAAACGTTGTCCTTTTATAGTACACTAGCCCCTTTCTATGCCCACATTTTAATATTATATTGAAATACCTTTATTGTTATTCATATCAGTGATACAATAAGAACATTAAGAAAATGCATTTATTTATAATTCATAAATACCTCAGACAGTTTAAGCTATTCCTATTGGTCGAGAGCCCGTCACGTGGCCGGTCTTAAACGGATGATAAAGACATGGCTAGCTGGTCTTAAACACTTTTCCAGTGTCACAATAAAATGTGGACTCCTAAAAATCCAGTGCCTCTTACCGTTTCATTGGTTGAACGTTCACAATCCTCACGTAGGCATGCGCAACACTACAAGCGAGTCAGAATTTTATAGTTCCAAATTCAAAACGCAACGCCCCAGGTGCGTTCTGCGTGACATCGCGCAGAACATGTTACGCGCGCGTCAATCTCCATAAAAGGGTTGTTTACATCTTACTCGCCAGCTGAACACTCCATTATTTTGCTAGAGGGATGTTTCAAAAAGCATGAAGTGAACTTGTTGAACAAAATCGGGATTTTTTGAACGAATTATTTGATATTTTTTTACAGATAAGGTATTTATGAATGGGAATAAATATGTGCTCGGTCGGTATTTATCACTCTGTTTAATACCGCTTAGAGTCTGGGTGCTGATAATTACCCTCGCCTCCGGCTCGGGTAATTATCAGCACCCAGACTCTAAGCGGTATTAAACGAGTGATAAAAACCTCCGGAGCACACATTTATTCCCTTAATAAACACATCTACATTTTGTTCATTATCACACAGAAAATGACAGACATGGACAAATTCAGCACACATACATGTACATGTACATACACCAATGTAGCAGTAAAAAGGAAGAAGGGGACCTAGGGCTCGGGGGTAGGAACAGGGGGAAATCCTGAAAGGGCTTGGCATGGCAAGGTAAAAAGAGGAAAATTCCACCATCTGGAGGGGGACAAAGCTATAAAAGTGGCAATGTGGGTGGAACATGTATTAAAAAGGGAGAAATTCAACATGCACCGAATACTTGCAATAAACACATAAAACCCTATCGTCTGGAGATAGAAAAAAAATGTATGGCAGAGTGGTGCCGGGATTTTGCCTTTGATGATACAAGCATGCCATGGAATTTGACACACAGTCAGAGTACGCCATAAGAAAGAGATTTGGTTTTATAGGGCCATCGCAGGTTTTTCCTTTAAAAAACAAATATAGGAAAAATAACAAGCAATGGCCGCCATATGGATATTGACAAAAAAGAACATGAATAAAGGGCTTGTTAATATTCTAACAATATTTTTCAAAGGACCAATCTGCGATGGCCCTATGACTGCGTATGCGTCAAATTCCATGCTTGTATCGTCAAATGCATATTCCCCAAATTTGTCTCTATCTCTAGTCTATTAGTTCAGTGCGTGGCCATAGAATGGGGTAAATGCACACAGTCCTTTGTTATCATCACTCCACGTACAACCATGCATTTACATGTACATGTACATGTACTTGCACAATACCATGACATAATGCACTAAATTATGCTAAACACCCACCGTGTGACGGAAACAGTCTGTTGTAGCATTCCATATGTGTGTACTTTGTGAATTCTCTCTGGTTATTCACATGACTGGAGCACTGCTTCTGTCGTAAGTATAGGACAGCCTTGCTGTTGTATGGCAGTACAGGCATATTGAAGTCCATACTGTCCCTATCATAACGACAGTACTGGACTAGTCGTTTGTGAGGTGACTCGTGCATCCATCCAAGGCCCTTTGAAGCCAGACTGCTTTGTGTACGTGTACGTGTATATGCTTATGCTTTATAGGCGTACAGGCAAGGTCAAGTACTGGACGGGGTCAATCGTTTTATTACATGTACATGTACATGTACATGTACGTACACGCCTTTTGGACTTCGACCTGGTACAGAGTGGTATACAATGTAGTCAGTCGAATTGCGTACAGGCCATGAGCGAGCAAGGGAAGACAAATGACCTCAACCTCGGTTATTCCTCCATGGTTACACCATACAAAGACCCGCATAATGAGCTCGTTTGGGTTTTTTCTTCTATTATTAAAATCAATCATGTACACCTACGGGCCTTATACTTTAAAAAACACTTTTTGGATAACAAACGTCTACTTAATTTACAGTGGGAGTTGAAATAATGCTTAATGGAAAAAGTTTGTACATGAATACGGGAAAAAAAACACTGTGCGTGGTGTGCGCATTATTTTGTGAGCGTCTCCGATACGGTCAGCCTGCCAATCGGCCATTGGTGGCATATGATTTTGATCGTCTGCCTATTTCATGCATTTTGTTCGTTTACAATAATAACACCACTATAGAAATCCAAAGAAGACAATTGAAAAGATAACCCGTTTAAGTTTTAGCTATAGTGGGTATACTTTTCCAGAAACAGCGAGAAACCGTGTACTGTACGAGCTGTTGATCACAAAACCCAATTTCGTATGATTTCCGGATACAATTGACCGATCATTGCAATTAATCAGCGGTTTGATCAATCCCTTCACATTCTTCATATGCAACTTGCAAGCAAGCTAGACGGAGTAATTTCACGGATTATATTAGTACAAGTACGATCTTTAAACCGTAGGCCAACAGGGTTTTTTGATAATACAATGACCGGTATATACTGGTTTGGGATAAATGCATTATACTCTGATATATACAAGAAGCTAGCCTATACCGTACGTACCTCTTATGTGTGTGACTGTACGTGCTGCATGTATGTCTGGACTCTCATGGATGCATGCTCACAGTGTGAAGCGTCCATCTTCCTTCTGCGGGCATATGCACGTTACTACTTGATCCAGAAGCCTGTGCCCTGATGAGCATATCCAGTGATGGACTACAAGTTAATGATTGACGAGACGGCCCCAGCTGGTCCCAACGGAAACGATAAATCTGCAACAGGATCGAATACAGTGCGGGTGGCTTCGTAAAATATTAACTCATGGTGGGTTAATAAAACATGCACTCATCGTCATAGATGATGATTATGAGTAATGGTGTCTGGGATGGTGTGGCATGCGCATGCGCGTATCGTTGGTAATGGGTACATCCCCGACACTGAAACCTGCAACGGCAAAGACGCACACAGGAACAAGGAGAAACTGGATATATTCAATTGATTTTTTTTTTGCTGGAAGCCCCTTCCTTTATGCCCAACAGAAGAAGTCGACAGCATTTTATGAGCATAAGGAAAGGCTGGATAGGAAAGCACGCGTCTGTAGAAAATATATAACTAATCATCGATTTTCAAATATAGGATTCCCTCTCGTACCCATGCAGTGGCCTCCGCAGCGAGGAATCGTTTTACATTTCGACATCACCTCGTGTTCGATGCATCACGCGTCATCACGGCTCCATCTCTAGTCCCAGCTATTGCACTGTACATGTATACCGAATGGCGTGAATTGCGGTCAACCACAAACACAAACGGTTCCCTCATAACACTGTCGTCTTTTGTTGTGTTGGACGATGGAGGAAGGCCCTCCATGGTTGGACTGACCTTTACTAGGCAGGACCATTCACACACGAATCACAGTTCTGTACGATGAAGTGTTTTGTGCACCCGTGGCCTCGATCACGCTTACAGTACGTTGCGTCTTTATTGTTCCTCTTCAATAGGCTAGCAATATCCCCAGCATGGAGCCCGTGACGAATATATGTCGCTTTTCTCCTTTCAAGCCTCGGTTTTTTTTCTTTTCAGTTTGCATGGCACTCTGCGCAAGGTTATAGCCTTATGCGCCATTCTCGCCAATTGCCAACAACAAAAGGAACATAACACACATATCCGCTGTCCATGGCGTTACGTAACTGCATTGTGCAAGTGATACGTGCAACTGATACGATATCGTAGACATGTATTACGCAACCTTGTCACACACTATAAAACATGCATGAAGAATCACTATACATGTACACGATTGTGTTTGCCCGACAGCGCCGCTAACTCATCAGTATCCGTTTATTATTACATGTATTCTCTGACTGATCCATATCTTGATAAAGTGCACTTCAAGGTGAGTCAACAAGGTGGAACCCAACCCCCCCCCGGAAAAAAAAATCATATTTAAAGAGGTATGTAGCACCAAAAATAATAATGACAGGAAAACCTTTTTCATAATCTACTTTAACATGAAACTGAAAATTGGCTTCTTAGTCATTATTATTTGTGGTGCCACATATTATATTTTAATATGAAATATAATTTGGAGGATTTGGGATCCGCTTTTCTGACTCACCCTGTATTAATATGGTTCATGCACGCGGACCACATGCGTGAATGCACTTATCATACAGTTGCATCCGATTCATGACGACCTATCATTCACACACAGTTATCTCAACGGTATTATGCGGGTGCCTAGCTGTGTCGTGTATGTAGCTGGGGCGAGTGGAAGTAAGGCCAACAAAAAAAATATTCGGTCTCTGGTCAGACCAAAGTTCCGGAATTGACGCGGCAATGCGGCTTTTTTTTTTTTTTGCTTATTTTTTTTCGTCAAGCTTGGATTGTACAGACAAGGTGGGGTACTATTTTGCTTTTTTGGTGTCCTCATGTATATTGGTGTCCTCCATAATTTACCTTGGTGCTTCCGATCATTTGCCTTGGTGCAATTTCCCATTCCTTGGTGCTCTTTGGTAAAACAAATTGTGGAGGTGCGGAAATAGAGGGCGCTGTTGGAGCAACCGCGGAACATTTTGGAAAAAAAGATCGACGTGCATGATTAAATCGACGCGCGCGCTGACCAGAGACCGACTTATTTTTTTGTTTGGCCTAACATGGATAGCAACAATAGATGATCTTCCATCCACTCTCCGCACAATTGAGCGGTTAATACCACTACTGAACATTTGAATAAACTGAAACCGGATGTGGAAACTATATTTCTGGTCTCCTCTGCGAATGGTTTTATTTAAAACAGACTGGATATTATTAGTTCACTTTAATAGCCAATGGGCTATCCCTTAATACTGCCAAATCAAACTACATGTTATTTAGTAATTCTGCTAGTGAACTTCCATGTGAAGTCAAGATTAACGATTCCATTATTAAACAAACTCTTTGCTGTAAATTTTTGGGATTATTTATTGATTGTGGGCTAACATGGAAAAGTCATATCGATCATATTTGTAAAATAATCGCTAGGAATTTTGGTGTTGTTAATAAGATTAAACATTTCTTTCCCGGACCCGTTCTTGATTCTCTGTACAATACCCTGGTTGTATCATACATTAATTATGGGATAATCGCATGGGGAGGTGCCGCTGACAAATATTTAAACAGACTTCTCCTCCTGCAGAAACGGGCCCTTCGAATAATAAACTTCTCAGATTTTAATGCACATACAGATCCCCTGTTCTTAAAACATAAAACTTTAAAACTCCATGATATTTATCATTATCAGCTTGGGTCCCTCATGTACAAGGTCGCCAGTAACAATATACCTTCCTCCATTAAAAGTATTTTTTCTCGGAATCTCGAAATTCATTCTTACTTTACTCGTCAAGCCTCTAATTTTCACATTCCATACACCCGTACTTCTTTTGCCCATAAAACGGTTAAACACGAGGGACCCATGCTTTGGAATTCAGTTCCTGATAAACTTAAAGCCTCCAAAAATATTTCGACCTTTAAACGTATTTACAAATCTTCTTTGTTAGAAGCTTATAGCTGAATCTCTGCAATGCAATTGTTCATTTTAATCCAGTTAGCGAGCCTACATTGTATATAGCCCATGTCATTATGTACTTGTCGGTTTTTGTCTGTTCACATCTGTAAGTTAAACTTAGCTTTTGTAAGCAACATGTGCACTGAGCCCTATTGGTATTTTTGTCTCCCAATCTCACGCCCTCTCTTTTATCTTCTTTCTGTAGGCTCAATGCACGTGTTGGCTTTTTATAGGGACCATTGCCTACAAGCTTTGCTTCTTAATGGATCCTTCTGCAGTATCACTTGTTCGTTAATTGCATCTTTATATATCCATTTATTTATTTATTTATATATTACTTTCTATGATTAACTTTTGTTGGATTAATACTGTGGAACTAAATAAACCTGAAACCTGAACCTAAAACAGACTGGATATTTTTTATAAAAATATGGAGACAATGAAATCTATGTACATAATCTCGGTGATTAAATGAAATCAATTATTGTGGTGAATAACCAAATATGTTATACTTGTATAAAACGACAGTCAAATTTTTACTGGTGCAAATATCCAGGGATCTGAAATATAATAAAATGCAATAGAGGATTGCTGTGAACTAATATGTCTGATCATTCAAGTACATGGGCTAAATTAGTGTTAGCCTCTACAACACAGCATTGTCTCAGTTAATAGTTCAAACAAATTTGGAATTACCATTTCTTATCTAAATTTCAAAAAGGAGTATATCTCTTCAAATACAACATGTCAATCAGCAAGTGTTGCCTATTTAGCAAGAACAGTTAAAATGCAAGAAGAAAAAATTCTTGCTTCCGCAATGGCATATTACCTATGATAATGCAGAATATATTTCTGAGTGCGTGCTGTATGTTTGAACAGAGCCAATATTTCCTGGAATAATGGGAGAGTCCATTTCAAATACTAAATTTGAACATAAATATTAGCAAACCTTTATAGTTGAGCGTTCTCATTTTGCAAAAGAGACATTAAATAGTTTCGTAAAAAAAACATATGTAGGAAAATTCACTTTGTGAACAATTTCCTTTTCCTTTTCCAAAGCCAGGCCGAAAATTGAATTAAATGATTATTTACAATAAAAAAAAAAAACAATCCGACATCGCCACCATGATCATTGAATCAGTGAACAAATGTCTCGACACTATTTGATGTAAATTGACAAGTATTATTTTGCCAAGCTTTTTATCACGTCACGATTACCATTGCTATTAAAATGGAGCACATCGTGGTGTCAGATTTTAAAACGGCCTTATTAAATTTAAAGGTACGGAGAGCACGCAAGAAGATTTTCAGATTGTGGCATAACAATACAAATAAAAGATACTGATTTTGAATGTCATCAAATGTCACTTCACTCACCACTTATTGGGCTGATCTACGTTCATGCCAAAATATCGACGCCGAAACAACGCTCGACACAGGGGCAATTTCCAGGTATGGGCAGTGCCGGTTGGTGTCGCTGATCGGGAACCACATCCAACAATTGTAACACTTGAGAGTGCAGTGCCGTCGAATTGCTAGTGTTGTCGCAACGCAAAGTTGGATCGAAATCAACCTGTAACCTCAGCTCTGCCCTACAGGAAAATTACAGGACCACGTCCGTAATTCGCGCTATTTAGTTTAACAAAGCGCGGTATGTAAAAACTCGCTGAAATTTCTATTAACTTTTGAACGCAGCGCGCAACCAAGGCGGGGGCGCTGTCCGTAAAAGAGAAAAAAGTTAAGTTGGCCGCGAGAGGGCGCTTTGCGAACAGTATGCAACATGATGTGTTGTATTTACAAAAGTTATGATGGAATAAGGGACCTGTCGAGTTAAGGTCAGTGAGAAAACACGACTGGTCAAAAGAAGGCTGTAAGAAAGTTTTCAAATAGGTACTCGACAGGCTATTGTGTACAATGTACAGTGGGGCTGCTCGCTACTGACGTGTACATGTACACTCTTTTGTCCACGAAGAAACTTAAGTACGCGTCTCTTCTCGCCACTATGACTGTGGCTTGATGGACTACGTATTTGGTTCTCCGCGCCTTTATGTCCTTGTCGAGTGGTTGGATTAGACGTATGCACTTGGGAAGCAAGAGGTCGTAGGTGTGAGTCCCTCCCGAGTGATTTTTTCCGACCTTTTTTGGGGTCTAACTTCCAATCGGGAGGTAACACACTGAGTATACAGTGTTAAGTAATACGTCGGTGAAGGGCTAAACCTAATTTGATTTACATCACCCCGATGCAAAAAACCCATCTTATTATATAGCTTTATTTTGATCAACGTTGGTATCAGGCTGAACAAGATTCGTAGTGTCCGTGTGTAAAAGTCACGCTATCTGCAACGTCATTTAAGATCCCTGTGTTTTTAAGGGCAAGTTTTGTTTTCAATTTCTTGATGCAAGCTGGGAAGTTTCGGATTCGGGACACCAGAAACCATTTAATCGTGTCGGGATTATATTTGCATCTTTATAAAACCATTGAGCGGTAGGAAAACTTCACCTGAAATTTGTGATGGGTAAGTTTAACTTCCTTCGCAATGTTAGTGAAGGTATTTACTTTTTTGAGTGGGGGGAGGCGGCTGCTGTCCGGGGGGGGGGGGGGGGGGGGGGGGGGGGGTTGGAGAGGGGGAGATCCAGCGGCGTAGCCAGCGGGGGTAAGGGGGTATTTTCACATTCATTGTGCGACAGTGTGCTTGGTCGTGCCCCTCCCTCCTCCTCCCGCCGACTCTTTTATTTTACGGATATGCTAAGTGTCCGGAGAGAAGAAAAAGTACTTTTCAGCACTGATTTCAAGTCCTGACCTTACCCACTCCCACCCCCACTCCCACTCCAAAAACTTCCCAGCTTGCGTGGTCATTGGGGAAGTAAATTCCAACTGTTTGGGTGCTAGTTGTGATTTCATTCGTAAAGTGATCGCCTTTTGCAGATATTGAGGAAACCACTTTGTTTGCATTGGTGATTGGTCACCGCTGTTCCCCAGACCATGCCCAGACATACAACGTGTATATCGCGTACACGACACGAAAACGTATTCGTACTCCTCCGTGTCCGATGTAAACAAGCGGTTTTCCCGTTTTTTTTCGGGAACGGTAAGGCATTACGTTGGTTTTCTTTCAACCAGATGTTTGAAATAGACTACGTAAACAATCCAAAACATGACATTTTCGGGGATTTCAGGATCTAGTGTCCCTTTAACCTTAAAAGGGCCGGGTTATTTTTATTATCTCTCAGCCGGGGGGGGGGGGCGGATTCCAATTTTCCTTGGAAAGTTTTTCGCTACGCGGCAACCCGTGGTCCGATTTTTATGTTTTTGGTATCAAAATATGCGCAAAGCTCGAGGCTAAAAAGTCATAACAGCTCGGGTCGCGAAACTTTTTTTAAGAGGCTATCAAGTTATCTGAAACACCCATCAAATTACGAACCGTATTTTCGCAACGTGTCTGCGTTTCACTTCGTTAAAAATCTAAATTATTGTATCACGCGTCAGTGTGTTGGCACCTAGGTTGGCAAAAATGCAGTTGGCCAACCACGGCCTGCAAAACTATGGAAGGTCCAACACTGCAAAAATGAAGAAGAGTTATTAAAGATCACCAAAATATTATTTGATACTTACAAATACAACATTTTCAACAAAGCTACAAAATAAAACTATGTGTTGATGGCGTTATGTTTTTGGAAAAATACGTTGCAAAACCACGGTTTCAATTTATGCGCTTACGGCAGCCCATACAAAATGGCGCCAATGTTTACAAACACTACAAACACAAAAACGGACTATACGCCTCTGTATTAATGACGTCACACCTTCTTTACACGTGCACTTTCCTATGGAGCCAGTGGGGGCCCACGGTCCACTGAGCACCATAGGAAAACACTCACGTAAACAAAGTGTGATGTCATTAGTACAGAGGCTTAAAGAATTCAGTTTCGTCAACCGATAGTTCAAAGAAGGGCCATGGTTGTTGCTTGGCAACTTCACTTTCGTTTGAAAACAACAGGGGGCGCAATTCATATTCAATGATAATGAACGCTTAGCCTTGCGACTGTCAGCTGATGGATTGTAACACCCAAACTGTCATTATCGATTGCAAATCGTCCCTCTTGTCGGATAATTCGTACCCACGGCCGTACAAAAAAATGTCCACATGAAAAGCGCCACCTAGTTTTAAATGGCATTCAGCTCCGTTTACGTGTAGACCTAAAGATCTGAAGAAAATGCTTCAAAGGCCTTTTTCTAATTATTTTGATTTTTCGAAACACCACTCTAGCTAAGTAACTGAGTGTCAAGCTCGCCTATAAGGCGTAATGTCACAAACCCGGGTCCCCCCTCACCCTCTCACACGCAATGTGTCTCCGGTCTCATCATAACAACGCTCAGACAAAATAATAAATGCAGGCAAATTTATAGGGTACAACTATTTATTTACACTATCTACACAAATATATCAAAATCACCAAATGGGGAGAATTCAGCCAAGTAAATTATAAAATGCAAACACCAGATTCAGACTCTAATTTCATGACCTATAGGACCAATATTAATACATACATATTCACCATACATCGACACTCCCAAAACCAAAGGGCTTTACAACCTGAAGTCGCTGAAAGGCGAAAAGCTAACAGTTCACTTTAGGATGAGTCTCTGTCCAGCGGTCCACGAACCAGTCCTTGCTTGACTAGGAAGGGATGGACGATTCTTGGGGCTTGGAGGATCAGATGTCCGCGACCTTGGTCTTGAGCGGAAGGGCCTCGGGGATGTATCGGCCGGTGGGATGTATCGGCGCAGTCCCCAACCAATGGGTGGATCCAACAATGAAAGGCGTGTGGACTTAACTCCACAAAAAGGAGCCCTGAAATAATATTAAATATAATAATAACCACCCACCCTATTTTCAGGCTGTAATTATAGAATCAACTGATCACACACAAATATTTTTATCAGCCCAAAAGGGCAGATTTGCAACGTAACGCATTCAAATATGCACAAGGTACAATACAGCACAATTGAGCCATACACTGATGTTTAAATGAATTAATTACTTTATACTAATGAAACAAATATTAAAATGAAACTTACAGTATATTACTGGCTCCTAAAACTTGGACCACCGTCAGAGGATGCAAAATTCGCTGTCTAAAACACAGCTCTTCAGACCAGGCAAACTGCCAGCCAAAATGGCAGGAAAAATCTATCTGCAACTAACGCTGCTGAAGGGTAGGCTATCGCCTTACCTGGATTCTCACACATCCACTCAGTAGTAAGACTTCAGCAAAAAAAATAGCTGAATCTTCAAAATGTTGGAGCTATCGCTCTACAGTGTGCTATCGCAACACGAGCCTGTCTGCTAAAACTGCACCCAATGCATGTATGTGCACACTTCAGTGAGCCAGTATTATGCTAATTTAACCTTAAGAAAGTTTACCTGCACATGCCACACACAGAAGTAAACTATGCAGGGCCACACCTTAATTTGCATAAAATGTGTATATAAAAGGAACTAGGTCAAACTTCGCCACACGTAGTTCAAACAAATCTTAAGGAACTTACACTTGGAGTAAAATATCAGGCTGACCTGTGACACGTCACGAACTCCTTTTGGGAGATTGCTCGCGCAGAATGCAGCTGTGGCGGTGTGTTGTGCATTTAGGACTATGAAATACTGACTCACTGGTGGTATTGTGTATGCCTACGTGAGGTTTGTGAACTTCAAACCAATAAAACGGTAAAAGGCACCGAATTTCTTGGTAGTAAATGTTCATGTTACACTGGAAAATGTATTTAACACCAGCTAGCCATGTCTTTATCATCTGTATAAGACCGGCCACGTGACCAAAATGAATGGTAAACTGTCTTTAGGTATTTATGAATGCCTAATGAAGATTCAAATGCTGTTTTGCTGCTATTTAAAGTTACAGTGTTCTTGCAAACAACGTTTCGATGTGTATATTTTGTTAAGCGAAACCAATCGTTTCTTCCGAACTTTTTAGGAAGACTAGCTCCCATATGTCCTGTAAATGAATCCAAATTGGCAAACTCTCGGGAATTGGGGACCCTATTTCCTCTAGTCTATTATTCAACGTTCCCTATTGAATGCAGAAACAAACTCATTAGCAGGGTAACCGTAAGGTCATGTCCAAATTCTGCTAAATGCACTTCAAAAATCTGTCAGATTGATCGAAAATCCGCCAAATTCCCCAGAATTACCATACAGCTCTATGAGAATTACTCGAAATACACTTTAAACACTTAAAATCACATGCAGATGTTGTAGTATTGCCTTAATTAAGGTTCAAATTACACTATAAACAATCTATAGTCACATGAAGATGTTATGAAATCGCATAAATTTCAAGTAAAACGCGGTTGCGTCACGACGAAATCCGGTTCGCAATGAACAACAGCAACTAGTCCAGCCAACATGTCCCGGGTTAGATTGAAAAGATTGAAGGCTTTTTGAACAAATGCACAATTTTTTTTCAAATTTGCTGTTTTTCTGTCAAAATCAATTGCTACAGAATTCTGCCAAAAATTTACCAAAAACTCTCATTCTGTCAAATTTTCTGTCAAACCCGTTTTTTTTTAAACTGTCAAAGTTAGCCGAAAATCGGCTAAAACGGTCACCATTCTCATAAGCTCCATGCATGGATACGTGCAAGTACCATATATATTACTGACCTCTTTGACACATTTCCTTTTTCATTTCCTTTGGTCGGAAACGTTTGTTTAGCGTCGCGGATGTAATTGGTGGTCTTAGACCAAAGTTTGTAGTTAGAATCATTGATACGCCACTGCAGCATAGTTAATATCTGAGTATTGTTAAAACTTAACCACGTTCTTATATTCCTCCACAATACATTAAATAATACTGTATACATCTGGGGGGGGGGAGGGGGTTAGATAAATGAAAGAGTTCATGATTATTAAATGCCTGATAATCTGATCTGATAATTTTAAGTTTGTCTTGGGGGATCTAATATTCATGACTCCTCAATTATTACACGTTAAACAAACCTTTCATCAAATAGAGAGAGTATTGTGTTAATTTATGTCAATTTCCTCGTCATTAAGTGCCATTCATTCTGCACCACTTAGTAGATCGTATATCATTTTCGACTTGGAAACAGTACAACTTGACTAACTTTAATTTTAGTTTTACTTCACTGATTCGGGGAATCACTTACTTCCAAGTCAGCATTAGTCAGCATGTATTGTCAGCATGTATTGTTTGACCCTGAAAATCAGTATTTTTCTGTCCTTATGTTTCGGTGGTTGGTTGGTTTTGTTTGTTTTTATATTAATACGTGTGTACCGTTCCCCTTGTAAGAAATAAATTAAGATGCTTCCAGTTCTTTCTGTAACAACTTGAGATTTAGCAAACATTGCTCGGCATAAGATAATGCATGTGCGTGTCCCATATACACCTTTCCCCCATTTTGCATGATATGATTGTGCAGAGCACTGTGTGTCTTAATAATGAGTCGTGACCAAAGTCTTTATTTCGAAACGTAATATTTGTATTTTAATGTGCTTGTATATCAAAATTGCAATAACGACTTGAACCGAGACTGTGGTACCCTTTGAACTTGGTTTTTCACGGAAGGAAATAAATATCAATTTGCATCAACGTCAGAAGGTGCGGTTGCACTGAAGTTCGTTTTGTTGTTTGTTCTTCTAAGTAGCTTGAAGATTTCCATGAACAAAAGTCACGTTACTTTTCATCTCTTGAAGAGAAATGTTTAAAATCCTTGGAGAGTTTTGCACGTGCACGTGTCTGTACGTAAGGAATCGTGGCCGCTTGCTTGAATCAAGGATTATCGACAATCGAATGTTCAAAACAACATTGTGAGTCAACAGATACAACACTTCAGCGGTAAGCTAGCTCAGTCGATTTGGGTTGTGAATCCGTTTTACATCTTATCAAATGTTAAAGCATTTGCAGGGGCATCTAATGAAATCAAAGATGAAATTCTTGATAAGAACCATTCGAACCGCCATTCTAATTGCTATGTACCGGTACGTCGACGCACCGCACTGTTGCCAGGCCGTGTGACACGGTTGACAATACAGCTCAGTATACGTAACCCGCTACCTCACTTACACGACCACACACACGTATACGGACATATACATGTACAGGGTGAGCCATGAAAGCGGAACCCAAACCCAACAATTATATTTCATATTTTAAAAAAATATGTAGCACCAAACTTAATAATAACTGGAAAGCCAATTATATAAGCTACTAGATGATAAAAAAATACTGAAATTGCTCAATCTGTTCAAAGAATATCACCATTTAAACACAATGACCCTAAAACCTCTTTCGTCCATTAATGCGATTTCAAGAATCGTCGTCACAATTGTTTTCAAACATCACCAGCGATCAATTTTAGTTTAAACGTTAACAAAATGCAACAAAGTCCTTTTGAAGGCCCGTCTTTTAAAAAAAGTGGATTTTATAAATCATATTGTTTGCCTAAGCAGGGTTGTTAATAAAGATATTACGTACTACAGTTTTTGACAGTTTTGAAACAAGTATTCTGTGTCATTGTCCCCTCCCTTGTCATTAGAAAACACAGATATCCCCATAGGCGAGGCCAAGATGGGGATAGGGGTTGGGGGGGGGGACATAAAGGACAAACACGAAGAAGAAGTAAACAAGAAAAACCCAAGATGCGAAGTCATATTGATGCTAACTTAATGCACATTTAACAACATGGGCGTCATTTTTTGCCGTTTCATACACAACCATGGGAATCTTGAGATGAGGAGGAAGGTTTTCCCACTAAAACTCGTCATTAGACATCTGACGTCAATATATCAGTCCCTCTCTTCTATTGTGCTTACAGGAAGCCAACACAAGTTGTCGTTTTAGCTTTGGCTATTGTTTTAGACCCTGAGGTACGATGTGTCTATCAAACTAGGAATACTTATTGACAATTCCACCCTTCAGCTGACACCTGTTTCAAAATATCAAATTTCGGGAAATACATTTTTTTAAAGCAAAATGAAGAGATCACAAGGTACCGCCATGACCGTGTCGGAAGAGGAGAAGAAAGAAATTGGCACGGGAGGCATTCATGTGACAGGTAAACTATAACATGACGCTGCAGTACAGTAGTAAATATACCTACTGCATACAATAGTACATTTATGATTCACGTTTTATTGCGCTTAATTTGACGTGTCTAAAAAGCCACATTTCACTTTTTTCAAGTGAGATAATCATAGTCATTCAATCTGTTTCCCTGAGAGTCGACACCTATATGCTTTGTACATTATTGTAATCATTATGGTTGGACATTAACCTGTTAATGGGTTTTTACTTGGGCTATAAATGGTAATTAATATTTGTTTTCGGACTTGTTTTAACTGTGGCAATTGTTTTCATTTATTAAAACATGGTATTCATAGCTTTGACTGATGAAGGTCTGCGTAAGCTCGCCGATCGACTCGGTCCAGAATGGGAGAAGCTGGCCACATATCTGGGCTTTGACATGGCACAGATTTACGGCTTCAAGACAAACAACCCAAGTCACGTGGCGAATCAAATATTCCAGATGCTCGTCAATTGGAGACAACGACAAGGTGCTAGTCCTGATCAGTTGGGAACTTTGTCCAGGAAACTGACAGAGGCCGACAGGAAGGATTTGGCTGCCATCATGCCCGGTAAAGATAAACTTAATTCAACCCGTAGCATCCGTTAAAGTGTAACGACCCAGCTTGAAGTGATCGATTAACAGATTGTTAAAGGCTTTACCGTCAATAAATTCAGTCGATTGCAAGGGTTGATTTCTCTGTCGTCAAATGAAATTCGTGTATTGGGGATAATCAAGCAAACAAAACATGATCTTACTGTCGTGTACCCACTGACCCTGTCATAGACCATTGTATAGTCCCCCAACTAATTTTGTGTAAAAAACGAAATGACATTGTTATAGCCAGTAAAAAAAATCGAACTAGAACATTTTTGGCGGACATTGAATGCAGACGTTGCTATATTTTGCAATGGAAATGGGGTGAGTTGGGGTTCACCCCTGTGTACATCCGGCTATGAGCCTCAGTATTATGAACATGTCCACTTAAGGTCGAATGGTGTTCAGCACCCCCCCCCCATGCTTTCGTATTTGCAACTTGTGAGAAAAAAAGTTTCAGGATTTGGGGGCTTAATATTCCACACCTGCTCTTCCCACCGAAGCAACAGAAAGTACAGTTGCTTGAAAATGCCTTATCGGATATCTTTAAATGGCCGCCATCTTCAGACATTTACCCACATAAATCGAACAGAGTGAGACCAAATATTTGTTATCCAGTTTTAGTTAAACTGTTTCCAAAACCTTACTGTGCTTTATGTCGAAACACTTAATGTTCAACAACGTTAAATGTTTTTTTTGCTCGTGGATATTCCATAGTTAATCACTATAAAATATTCATACGACGACAGTGATGAAAACGTGGACAAAATGACAGTTTTAATAGAAAAAATACTTTGCGCTTGAAACAAATTTATCAATTAAAAAAAAAAATAGAGTGTTTTTCTTTTTTGTTTTCTTTAGAAATTTTGGAATGTGTACGTTCTGATGTCCATCGAGAAGGGAAGGTGAATGTGGCTAATAAACAACCTGACAAGTACATATGCCACAAACACAAGGATGGCGTCAAACTATTCTATTGCAAAACATGCGATGAACTGATCTGCCATGCGTGTACTGCTGTAGATCACTCTAGACCCGATCATGACTTTATCGACACCGGAAAAGCTTCAAGAGAATACAGACAGTCACTGGAACATGACTTCGCCGAATTGGAGAGAGAAGTGCAATACCTCGAGTTGTCTCTACAGGACACAGTTGAAGCTAAGAAGGTTGTCAATGTAAACACAGCAGAGGCTCGAAAAGATGTGCAGGACAAGGCTGCTGAGGTCATAGCAAAGGTCAAAGCTGAGAAGGAACGACTTCTTGATGAGATCACGACCCACGAACAGGAACAAAATAAGCGGCTGGATGAGCACGAGAAGACAACGATTGACATGGTGCAGAGAAAGAAGCAGTCACTTGGAAACGCCAAGGAAGTCACGAGTGATGCATCAGACTGCAACTTTCTTTCACGCTACACCGTGATTAGCAAAGATTTAAAAAAGATGCACAGTCAGCATCTTGCACAGCATCATCACAAACTTTGGTATTTAAGGTTCAAGCGAAGTCAGACAGTCGATGACATCGATCTGGGCAAGGTGGATCAGGAAGGAGACACATGGCAACTGCATCATACATTTGGAGAAAAGGGAAGTGGTGAAGGGCAGTTTGAAGTAGCCAGAGGCATTGCTGCTGCAGCTGAACCTAACGAGATTGCTGTGACTGACTTGATGAACAAACGAGTACTCATCTGCAACAACCAGGGGCCTACAAACAACTACATTCCAATCAACGCAAGTACGTTGCTAGAGCGCATGCATTTACACACATTTACACACATTTTTTTTTTCTCTCGTTCAGTTTCGGACAGCGATTAAAACTTTATCCATGTCCTCTACTCCCTAGTTCATTTTCTCGAATAAAATCGCTCTGACATTTTCATTCCAGATACTCACTTAAATACACAGCATCAACAGTCATTTCCTTAGACGTCATCCACAATGCCTTCCAGGGCTATTTGGGGGTCAAGTACCAAGTACTACATATTACTACATGGGTTGTGCACACTTGTATGGAAAGAACTGCATACTACAGGTTACTACTCAGTAGTATTTTGTAGCATTGGTGGCAGTTAGGGTTAATCAGTGTTATTCAAATCAGTTATATGTTTCCCGAATCTTTCCTGCTTAAAATCATGTTTGTTTCGGAGGAGACATTGTATCGCTATTCGATCCTACACAAAATTCTTGTATACCTGTAAGTCCCCCCTTTCCCGACCCCCTCTTTCTCTTTCTCCCTGCGTGACACAGTTGACCATAATAGCCATTTTCATTGTCCATGTTGTCCTATATAATAATTGTTATTGTCCTATTCAAACAGATTTATCAACTCATTTCGAAAGCACTGTATCAGTGCGGAGTTAGTGGTACACTATCTAGGCATTCGCGCGCATGCTGATCGCACGTGCATGCAAAGCTTGTATTTCAGTGAAATCAGGATTACAGACAGATGGCCCATAAACAACAATAATAATGTGGTTAAAACAATTTTACTGACGAAATTGAACATCAACCATAACCCACTATTGAAATGTCTATTCACTGTTGGATTTAATTTATTCACCGTTGGATTTACCCGTACGGTATTAATGGAAATTATAGTCCTGGAATACTTCAACATCATGAGTCCTAACCCCATGTGAAACCTGCAGTTTATGGTGGTCATGCGATCGCGAACAAAATGACTTTAATCAAAATCCCTGCATATATTATACAAACTCATTCGTTCACATTGTATTACGTCACAAAATTGCTCGCTGTGAGCTGAACGTGTGAATGTCTGTTAGTGGATCAGTATCAATTGACACTCAAACACTCAGATTACTAGTGAATATTTGCATATCAGTCATGCTTTTAAAGTCGACAATAGTTTACTCGAAATACTCTCAGTTATCTGAATGATCGCATTCATAATTATTTTGCTTTTCAGATGATGTCGTTGCTGTATCGAATCACTGGGTGTGTGTTACCCCCAGCAAGTTGATGGTTTATCATAGGGACACCAGTGCCAAGTTTAGTTTCGGCACTCTGCCAGAGAGCGAGGATGGCATGTGGCTCATAAGTGTAGCAGCCATGCCGAATGGAAACATAATAGTGGGTGATAAGGCGGGGAAGGTATTGACTGAGCTGGATCCTAAGAATGGTGATATCCTACACACTATGCAAGTGAGGATACGACCTGACTACTTGGCTGTACTGAGCAATGGTTGGATCGTGGTCAGCGATGAAGACGAAGGACTAGTGGAGATAGTGGATGTTTCGAAAGACGCCGCTGTTACTGTAGGTTCAATCCAACCAACCATCGCCGGTAAACCGGTGAAATACTGCAGGGGTGTATGCAGTAACAGCTCGGGTATCTACCTTGCAGTGAGCACATGGTACAACACCACCAGTCACATTCACCAATATGAGTGCACTGGTCAGTTTGTCAGATGTGTGGCTCGGGGTCTTTACAATCCCCAAGGAATCACATTTACACCCAATGGACAGCAGCTGGCAGTGGCTGACTGGCATTCAATCAAGGTGTTTCACAAGGTGTGATGTCAACGATGTAAATCCGGCATGAAATCGTCTTCCCACGCCTAAAGTTGAATCGGTTTAATACGTATAACGCGCTTGTATTAATTCATGTTCTCCACCGGATATCTAGAAATGAATTTGAAAACAAATGTGTACACGTGAAAAAAAGGAATCTTGGTACTTGGCACCTGCTGGCTTAATGCCACCATGGGCAAATATCCCTTCTCATTTTCAACTCTGTTGACGAATCTAGGTTTGCATTATTCGGTTGAGTTCCCTACAACACAATTAACAGATTGAAGACACGCATATCGTCATTAACGGTTATTCGAAGCTGCACATGTTTGAATGTATAATCTCACCTCCCCATATTCCCCCTAGAATAATTTACATTTTTGGCGTTATCGATTTAAAAAGATAAAAATTTACACAAATAACTAATCTAAAAATTAATGTGGCCTGACGTTGCGAACTAGCAAGTTCTTCTTCAGAGGCTAAAACAGAAATGACAGAGGTACATACATTAACAAGGGGGTACACACAAACATGCAGGGATGAAAGAAGAAACACAAAAGGAGGATTAGGTGGGAAAGGTGTGGAAAGATGCAGGGGAGGGTGGATGAGAGAACAAAGAAACAAAGGGAGATGGCAAACCACAAGGGGTCTGGTATGAACAGGGGAGGGACCAGAAAGGGGAAGGAATCAAAGGTCACAGGGAGTGGGAACGGACAAAAGAGTGTGGGAGTGAAGGGGGATTATGCGGGGGGGGGGGACAGTATGGAGGTGGAAAGGGATGAAAGATGGGGGAAGATGGGTAAACACAAACAATGAAGACCAGGTGGATTATCTGTAACAGAAGACAATGGAGGAAGAAAAAGATTAATCATTTAATAACTAATGGCTTGTACATAGTTAGCTATAATTCTTCTAAAAATGTTTGTTATCACTTAATTAACCATCAGTTATCAGAAAACAAATCATGCATTAAATTAAATTAACTGTATTAGTAGATATGTGCTATTAATCAAAACAATCTTGTTTTGGACGCTACGGTTATTTTCAATAATCGTTGTCAGTGGGGATGTAGTGGAATCAATCACAATTCACTGACAGTCCCCGCAAGTCGGTCACAAGTCCTCCAATTCAAATCACAAGCTTTGCAACTTAGATTTGACAAAGATATTTCTTCATTACCTTTCGTCTATTATTGTGACTGGCCTTGAGACTGGCGTTGTGACTGCATGGACTTGTGACTGGAATTGTGACTGGCCTTGTGACTGCAGTTGTGACCGAGCTTGTGACTGGACTTGCGGTTAACATGTGATGGACCCGACTTGCCGGAAAAATGTTCACTTTACAATCATTACCAATATTTTGGATCGCTTTGTAAAATTCACGTTTAATACTTTACTGCAGCAATGTCGATATAAAAACGCAGTGCATAAGTGCATCGTGTAAATCGATGATGAGGTCGTTCAGCGTAATTTGTAGAATTTGATTATCAAACTATATGCAATACATAACCAATAATTAGGAATATAACAACAACAACTGAAGATAGCACATTATGTTAATTTGTTTTTGTCCTGAGTTAGGCTAATTTAGGTGAGATGGCTTCTTTGAGTTTGGTTGACAGGTTTGGATGCGTTTAGTTGGATAGGCTGGGACTATTTATATTTTGAAACCATGATAACATTTGATCCCAGCAGTGGATACCCTTAATCATTGAAAAGAACTTGAACTTTGCAATAAAAGAACAGCTGCATGCCCAACCCAAATTATTGTAACTCCGAAATTGCCAACAAAATAATAAATATAATAAACATTATATTTCAGTCAACGCTAGTCGGCAAACCGAACGATAAGTTTTCCGGATTCATAAATTAAACGATTTGGAATGCCACAAAATGTTTTGTTTAACCCTTCACCTTCTTAAAGAGCGCCACCAAGATAGAATCTGCAGACACTACTAAAGCTATGAGACACGGCGCGTAACAGACCGAGATTACCTTCCATGTCACCTGTAGAAAAATAACTTATCCGACAACAAAATCTAATAATGCTTCTTCAAAGGATGGTGGGGAAACTACAAACATGCAAATTTGACTGCACACCTAAAAGCAAGTTTCATTGATGCATACACTTTTTTTTGCTATAGTCCAATCTGGGCACGCTAGTAATTCTATCACAAAGGCCCCCTTCAATGGCAAAATCATTGTGTTGGCTATTCAGGTAATCCGTCACAGAGCAATTGCTTTGTACAGTAGCAAACACAACGGATTCTCAATTGAAGGGATCCTCGTGAGTGTACGGTGACCATGTGCCCAAATTCCTCCATTGATTCTTCAAAGAAATTACTGCCTGATAGTTTCATTATCGTTTGAAAACAATAGGGGGCGCAATTCATATTCAATGGTAAGTCACTTCCTGCTTGCGCATTTTTTTGGAGAGTTGGGGCCTAATCATGCATAGTTCAGTTTTCCTTTGAATCATGGCAAGACACTTAGCCTGTTCTCTTTCTCTTTTTGGGTTAAATTAAAATTATCGCAAAGATAAATTGAGAGAAAAAAAATAGTTGATAAAAATGGCAGCGACGACGTGGATTCGAACCAGGGATCTTTATATCCATAGCTCATCTCGTTATCTACTAGCTAGGCTTCTGTGGTAGCTCGACGACGGCCGCATTTTAAAATGCTCCAACGTGACTGGTTGACTAAATAACAACAATGTTCTTGATAACATTGTTCTTTTTCGTGAATAAACATACCTAGCAGATTGAAACTACTGAATTATGCATGACTTGGCCCCAACCGTCCTGGGAATACAATTTAAGCTTCCCTCGTCCATGACCATATCAACATCATTGGGCAACGATGGGTGTCCACATGTATAGACAGGCATGCATAGGTTCATCTGCATTTTCTACTAGTCATTGTTGATTGCAAATCGTGGCTCGTGTCGGCAAACTCTCATCTACGTCTGTAAATCATGTCCACATGAAGAGCTTCTTACAATGCAGTGCTCCATCATGCGTTCGCTATGATGTGTCCATTTTTCACCCGCCGCTCCCAACCTCTGGAACAACCCACCAGTTGAACTACGACAAACGTCTTCTTTGCAGTTATTTAAATTGTCTCTTCAATCAAATTTGTTCACCTCTCCTTTCTTTTCAGTTTGAATTTCACTTATTTTTGCTGTGAAACCTTACAGTTATCATTTAATGATGTTGAATGCGCCATGATCATTTTACTTGGCGGATTCGACGCTATATAAGATTTTATAAGATTTATTAATCAATTACGAAATTAATTAAAATACACTACATGGTTTCATGTAAATCAATTTGTTTTGAACACAATATTATATTTTGGAAATTTGTAGCCCGTCCCAGCCGAAAAAGATACTCCTTATTGGTAAAGGTTAAGAGGTAGATAGGTTCGTCAACGTCTTCAGTGTCGATGAGGTCTTTTTGGCGATCTGCAGGAGTTTGGCTGCCTCTGCCTTGCCGGTCTCTTGCACCATCTTGCTGAAGATACCGTCTTCCTTCTGGAGCAGAACGTAAGGCTCGTCAAACTCGATGAGCTGCCCTGCGTCGAGCACCTGAAAAACAACAACAACAACAACAACAAGACTTAATGATCACCTCGGGAATCAAAAGACACATTTCCTCCGAGTTGTTAAAAAAAACCCGACATTTTGGATGGATCAATCAAACACATCACATCACAATGTATTACAAAATCGGTCGCACCACGAACCGACTTATCTCAATTTAAAGTTTGTCATAAATTTGTAGGCCCATTTTCTTTACTCCCTGTGTAAGAATTCAAGCTGTTTCGTTTTTGCTATAGATTAAACTTTATTGTATGCAATCCGTGTGCATCTTAGTTGCTTAGTTTTTAAGAAATTCGGTTCTCAAGATACACGTCACTTCGTGAAACATGTTTTATCGTATTCCATACAACGCACGTAATTGCGCCAGAGACCGGGATACGTCGGTTGGTGAAACAATAAATTCACACTTTTCATGTCGATGCTTCTTGGTGACGTCATGGCACTATTGGAATTTGCGTATAAAGCGGTGTATCGTAAAACGTCACATCGTCGTGAATGATTTTGAAGTTTTTAGAGATACACCGCAGAGTCTGGTGAGTGTTTTTAATATTCAGATCAGTGAAGAGGAGCATTTCGATGCAATGTAAACGTTAATAACGAAAACTCAATTTTGCCAAAAATTGAGATACGCCGGTTCGTGGTGCGACCGACGTAATGCGAAAACAGTATGTTCTGTTGGTCAATCAACATTCTATTATTAAATCTCGCATGCCCTGAAGTCATACCATAACTTTGTCCGAGTCCATTATTGTGTTGAGACGATGAGCTATTGTCAGAACTGTGCAGTGTTTGAACCGCCGTCTGATGGTTGCCTGAATCAAGCGGTCAGTTCTATTGGAAGGAAATAAAAAAAAATAACAACTTTATATTTTTTACGACAATAATAAGATCTCTAAAAGCCACCGCCAAATATAAATAGGGATTTTGCCCACTTTTCAATTCCATCACTTTATCCAGGAATCCACTTTGACCATGAATGGTCTCAGCTCTTCAACTCAACACTGATCCTGTAAATCAGTAACAGGTGGAAATGAGCATTTATTTATAAGTGGTCTTTCCTCATTTTATTTTTCAGGGTTAGTGTAAAGCGCCAGCGAGTTTCTTACGGGCTATCTGATTATCTGTATGAGAAATAAAAAATGGTGGATGATACAGTTGATTTAGTTAAAACCCGTATGGCGTTTGCCAGGTAAATCCTAAGCATGTACACTCACCTGATGTCCACGTTGGCTGTGGCTTCGTCCACTATGAGGATCTTGTTCTTGCGTAGGATAGCCCTAGCCAGACACAGTAGCTGCCTCTGACCCACACTGAAATTAGTGCCTCCCTCAGTCAAGACTGCCTCCAACTTGTCCGGTAGCTCCTCAATCGCTGGTTTCAACTCAACCTTTAATTTGGGACACAAA